ATCAATTTTTAAACTTCTTTTCGCTTGATTTACGTCTAGGCCAGTGCTATCTGCTGGTATTCTGTTTAACTGATCTCCCTTTTCGCAAGCATTCAGTGCAGGCAGTAATGAGCAATCGGCATGGTCGGCATCATCTTTCCGATCCGTAGACAAACTATGTGAATGCTGTGTTCCGATCTTTGCGTCCAGTTCGTATTGTGCATTGAGATTGAGAATGGTTTGCAATTCTGTAAAATGCCTGAAAACAGTCAATGTGGTTATGATACAAGGCTGTGCATGAAGAGAATTGGACCACCTCGGCCTAATATAAAAAATTTACTATCTGATAGAAATGGCAATCGTTCTTTTGTACGGAAATTTCAAAGTGGAAAATGACCATATTAATTTTAGGGGGAATTTATCCATGTGTTCTCTCTTTGATTGTAAAACGTTCCAACAATATCAAGAAAAATTCCCCTTACAAAGGGTTGATCGTGTTACACAGTTCTCTCCGTTCGTGAGCTAGCAAACTGAAATCTGAGCTGGATGTGCTATATAAAAGAATCCTAGAGAGCTTTTTCCACTTTGAAAGGATTATAGACATTTTAAAGAAATACCATGACGGAAGAGAGATTGAATAGACTTAGTATGTTTTCATTATAAAGAGTTTTGTTACGAGACTCATTTGATTTTAAATAATTAGTAATAGATTTACAGAATATAAAAACAGAAGACTCAATTTAATTTATAGATCATGTGTTTAGCCTGTCTTCCGGGGAGCAAATTCGATTGTGATTCTTCCTTATGTGACTTAAACAATCCAAATATAACAATATTTCAAATGCCTAACTTTATTTGATCCTGTAACTTTGTGTTCTCTCCCTGATGCCTAATCCCAGAGCCGCCACTGTTGGCGGCACATTGCTCTATCAGAGCTAAAAGAGTAATTTCATGTGGAAACCGATTGCACGTAAGAAACGTTGCGTAAGCATTTGTTTCCAATCACCGAAACGCAGACGCACGTGTGCCTCTTCTCGCCCCTACCCCGGGATTTACGACCGTCCAACCGAGCCTGCACCCGCCGATGGGAGAGGAAGCTTCGCTTCTGTGTCGTATTTGTTTACTCCCACTCGCCTCCCTCTTCTCGAACACACCGTTTTCAGAACAGGCTTGGACCTGCAAGAAGTTCCCGGAGCAGATAAATTGGTAATATGATGAAGTTAATACAAACGTCAAAGAGTCGCAGTTGCAAACGTGCGTCGAGTATCAACTTTTGTGAGTGTCTGGGATGGAAAATTCCAAGAAAGCTCGACCAGCGATTGGTGAGGAATTAAGAACGACGTACCAAGCTTTGCTCAATAAGACAGCGAATATTCGGGGAAGAGATGAATTTGGGAGCCTACAGGTTCGGAGGGAGGGGAAAACCCTGTGGAGCGAACCGAGGGCATGCCGGAAAATTATTATTACGTGAAAGGGTGAGATGGACTTGGCGTGATAGAGATTGGAGGGAGGACGCACTGCAGCGAGCAGTGGAGTCTGTCACCCAAGTTGGGCCTGGTATATTTTTGATTAACGCGTGCAAGACACTAGTGAAAGTTTCCTTTCATACAGATTGAACTGAAATAATAAGTGATTATTCAACAAAATTATTATTAGATTATTCGTTATGAATTTATCCGCAAATTTTCCTGAATTCATCTGAGGCAACCCCCATAACAATAGCCTTTGCCATGGCGTATTAAACGGTAAAGAGTAGATACCGTGTGGTGACAGTGGGGCAAGGTCGCCTGTGCGCCCCACCCACCCCATTCACTGGAGCGGAGGCACGCCAACCAGAATCTTCGGCGCGCCCCCAGCGTCAACATCTTTCCGGCGGCCGCCTCTTTCTTCGGCGCAGAAACCTGCCCAGCTGTTAGGTCGTAGACATCGACAAGCCCAGCGGACGAAGCGAGCGGGGAATCTATTCAGTTTTCAAATGAAACCCACGCTTGGGGGTCAAAAACAACGCTCAAGCTAAATCCATTGACTTGATTGAATGTTTCTCTTTGAATTAGCGCGGCCACGCATTGGCCTGATTACCGACACCGCTAACAAAATTTGTCATTAGCATTAAGAGTACATTTTAAAACTTAAAATAAAATGTTCACATGAGCTTTTCCTCAAAATGGGGACGTGTTTCCTTCTGAAAGCATAAATTAAATAACCCTTGGTCTATTATCTGCACTAGTTTTTGTTTTTGTGACCTGCAACAACGCCTTACCCTCTTGCCTCCGACAGAGCGCGGGCAGATATGTTTATGAAACTCAGAGACTAACAGACTATTTTTTGCAAGGCTGACCCGAGATACTGGCCGCCACATACCCGTCGCATGCGCAAGTCTTTTACTTTCTCGCTCCCGCTTACGCAGACAGAAAATTATGTAATGCGCGCAAAAACAGGAAATTATCGGCAAAAAATCTCTTGTTGTTGGGTCATAATAACGAAGACGTGCATTGCGCCAGTTGCGAAATTTAGAATCTAGTGGTGCTGAACAGCACATATTCTCGTCTTTAGTTATGTAATACTATTTAAATAGTTAAGTAATACTATTTATTCCAAAATTTCTCTCCAAATACAATCTCAGTCGTTTTTTGTAAATCTCCTCACATATTTTACATTTAGGAAAAACTAAATATTTTCAAGCAAATATCAAGATAAATTTGACAATTGTAACTGCTTTTCATACAGGTAAATCATGTTCCAACAATAAGAGGTAATTCACAAAAATTAGCTCCCCAGCTTCATACATTTCAAATGATATCTATATCTATATATATAAAAACAAACTTGACAATGGTTGCTGTAGGAAGACAAGATTTTTTTTTTTTATTATTTTCGAAAAAAGGAAGTTCAACGAAGATGAGACCTGCACCATTCTCTTAAGCATCCTTTACACAACGTAAGATCTCAATTAAATAAAAAAACGTGTGCTGTTTCAAAGAAAAAATGGTTTAAAGAAAATAAAAAACACCTTCGTGAAATTGTGTGTCAAACATTGACTTTTTTTAAACTTTATTTACATCATTTAAAACTTTAAACCAAGAAAATAAAAAACGCCAATTTTTGACACAATGTTTGTCTTTTACACCCCCTTCTTTGTAGGGGAATGCAGGGGATTCAGGGGAAGTTTCTTGTGCAGACGCAGTTTGACACAGCTGATCTACATACACCAATGTCCAATGCCGAAAACCTTTAAAATTTTTTCAGATGGTTGTAAAGGTCAAAATGAAGATGATAATATTAAAGGTCATGTCAGCACTCGTTTTTACAGGGGAAATATAAAGCCTTGAACAGTATTTTTGATTCCAGAATATTCCTTCCACTCTTGCAATCGAGATTTTGCTGTCCCTTTTGATGTTGCCTTGTGTTCTAAACAAAACATTAAGGCGATAATTGTGATCGCATTTACACATTAAAGGCTTGTGTGGAATTGATAATGACCTCAAACCAAAATGATAAATACCAAGTCGCTATCCCTAACTGTTCTGATATAACTGATTATAACATTGGAGAACAGGATATTACAAACATGACATCTATTGACAATTCAGGAAAGAAGGTCTAGTTCACAGAAAAAAAAAAGTTCCACATCAGTAAGTGCTTTAATCATTCTACCAAAAATGGTGTGGAAATTTCTTTATTGAGGAGCTGATGTGTCATTTGTTTCATATCAAAAATATGAATTTAAATTTTGAATACCTAATCATCATATTCTGAGACTTCATCCCATAAACAAAACAATCTGTAGATGATAAAGTTAATTGCGAAGACTCCTTATGAGAAAGTCGTGCATGCGTTCTATGCAGAATTATATAACTAAACAGTGCATGAGTAATTAATTCTGAAAATAAAAAGTTAAATATAACAATTTCTTGCAATTAAAGTAATGTACAAATTTCTAGTTATTAATTAGAAGGTCATGAGTGTTAAAACATATTTCAGGTAAGAAGAATTTAATGAATGGCAATACGTTTTTGTCCCAACATGTTTTATTTCAGAAACAACATAAATTATGTTTTTTAGTAAAAAATAAAAAAAATATTCAATTTTACTTTTTTGCTAAATAAGGCAATAAATTCTATGTAAGGTGTGGAACACACCTTAAAAATAAAAATTGACACAATGCTTGTGCCAAATATATAGCTGCATTAGAATGTTTTATGTCTACTGAAAAGTTACTTGTCAGCGACTTATGTTGTTTCTGAAATTACCCATTCATTAGTACTATACAGAAGATGGCTGATCTCTAAAGACTGTTTATTACCACGAATGCTATATTTAATTTCACAGCTCATTCAGAACATCTGCCTGGATAACAGAAAGTCCTCAGGATCTAGGTGAAAATGAAAGTTGTGGAAACCATTTTCAGAGAAAACTTTATGCTTTACATATATAGACAAGTTGAATGTTAACCTTTTGACAAGAAAGCCTCCTAAAGATGACCACTCTCATTCGAGATCACTTTTCTTTCAAACAGAATAATTATTCTGCAAGACCAATGTCTTTTTACCCTTTTAAAGACAATGGGTCCTCTTTCTTCCAACGACCACAAATTTTGCTTGTAATATAACATTACATTCCCGCAGTGAAATAATAGACCCGAAAGTTTTGCGTACTAGTGTGAGCTAAGCCGTTTCTGGTGTCATTCAGATAAACAATAGCGTTAGAGCACCTGAGATTTCATGATATCTACTATTCTTTTTTGTAATAATATTAATTAATAAATACTGTTGATCAAAGTATACAATGAAGCTTTTATTTGAAACATGAAGAGAGTTATGATACCTATTGTATTAGTTGCAGCAGTAGCGGTGAGTTCAGTTTAAGTGTATTGTTCCCTTTAAAATGATAACCTGCCTAAAAGACCAGTTTTAAGGTATTAATCACTTGGGCAGCTTAAAGAAGTGTACTTTGTATTTTGAGTAATAGTCTATAATGTACAGTAAATACATATAAAAAAATTTGGTTTCTTAAACACTCACCATCTTCACTAAAATGACCAACTTTTGTGCCTTCTGGACAACTATCCAAATCCATTTCAAATGAATCTCTGTGAGATTTTGAGCTCTCGTTATCCATTGCTGGTGACATTTCACCGTGCTCCCTAAAAATGGTAATTTCAAATGAAGTTGTGGAACAATATGTTTATAACAATGAAACAAATACAGCTTTTTCTTTCTTCTATTAACTGATATTTGTTATACAAATATCAATTCAAACTGTAATACCAATATCAGAATATTTCAGAAGATTGTAATTATAGTAAAACTTCCTCGATGCAGAGCAAGTATAATGTGGAAATCTGTCTAATGAGAACATAAACTGTGATCACAGCCTATGAAAATTCTACAGTATTATATTATATAATTCTAATTATCTTGTAATATTGCATACTAAGAGATAAAATTACCAAATTCTTCAGATTCTGCATTGAGCAAGTTTCATGGTATTAAAAGTTACAATACTTACTCTCTAGGAGAGCCAGACATGGTAGATAATGTGCTGTCTGGTGTGGTTGGAGGAGTGTTTTCTAGAACTGGTGCAGCTTCGCTAGAATTGAGTTTTGACACACCAGGTGAAGGGATTGCAAGATGATGCTGAGCAGGACCTGCTGTTTCTGTAACTGGCATATTGTCAGGGACAGATGGAACAGATGCTGCAGCAACTGCTATCGACTGGATATCTTCTGAAGCAATGACTGCCGTTGTGACCACAGCAGAAGCTGTAGTAGCAGGTGTGACAACAGGAATACTCAAAGGAACAGAAATGGGTACTGGCAATGACATAGTAGGATCTGTTGCATCACAAGTACTAGCTGGCACACTTGCAAATGGCATTTCCAGCACTAATACTTTGCTTTCAGGCAACGACTCATCAGTACCCCCTTCACCAGCTTGGGCAGGGCTACCAGGAATTGTTTCTTGACAAAGCAACGATCCTAATAACTGACTGTCAGCATCATCACTACGAGATTCTTGGCGTATTTCAGCTGCCTCCACTTCCCCCAAAGGTACAGCAGCTAGAGCAAGAATGGAGGAAGCTGTTGAAGCATTTGTTTCACACACAATATTGGCTGTAGGGCTTTGGGGATTCAAATTATTAGATGATGAGGCCACAATTGTAGCTGTAACTACTGTTGTTGCTGTAGTATGGCAACCACTTGACAGAGTTTGTTCATCTGTATGATCAGAAGATAATTCTGATGTTGAAGCCTCAAGGACAACAACACCACCTGAAATAATTTCTGCTTCTGCCATCTGGAACAAATGATTCAAGAATTAAAATTATAACAATGAATGTTTGCCAGATAAAACTAATCTTTCTGCAAGATCTAATTGTTTTATCTATGTCTTACACAATTCATAATTAATCTATATTGAGCATAAGTACAAGGACAGAAGGAATAGTGTGAGTTTCAATAAATGAAAATATACCAATATTCAACTGAAGTCATGAAGACTGCAGTGAATATTCACATGAACATTTTTAAGTTAAAAATATTTCATAATTTCTCAGGGAGAAGAATGAAATAAATATTACAGAACACTTCAAAACTTCTATGAGCAACATAAATTACAATAATTCTATAACCTACCTTACTAGCGTCTTCCAAGTCAACCTTCACAATAACAGGGGTCATGACTGGAGGAACTATTTCACTATCATTTGTAACTTCAATAGCTGCTTCCTCTGAATCGAGATGAAGTTGAGATCCTGATTCCTCCTCCTCCCCCCCTCCCAGAGAGTCTTCCACAGCATGTTCGCTTGGAACAGGAGTAGTTCCAGACAGACCATCTGCTTCCATAGTCTCCTCTTCAGTCACAATTGGAGCATTTGTTACTTCTTCACTGGCAGAGCTACTATCATCTGGAATTGGAGTAGGTGACACATTGTGTGCCATAACTATTGAAGCTTCCTCAAAAGTTTCTTCATCCTCTGTTCTTAATTCATCATCAACAGGTGCTTCAAGATCTGCATCGTCTTCTGTATCTTGAGGCTGGTTTTCAGCATCAATTTCAGCTTCAGCTTCAGAGATTCGTAACCGCAATTCAGAAGCTGACATCGCTGAACTACAAGAATGTGGTTGTGAGCTACCTTCATCATCCATAGGATCAATAATAAGGCGCTGTCCTTCATCATCACTGCTGTCAGCTATGGAGTCCTCAGAATCAAGGAAAGCAGATGTCATAGTAACACGTGCTACTCTTTTTCTTGCTGGTGTATTACTGCCAGAAGAATGCCTTGGACTAGCGTTGCTACTAGGAGAACCTTTCTGAGACGAAACAGTAGGAATTGTTGCAGCCTTTGGAATATCGGACTGTGTTTGTTCCAATGTCTGTTTTTCACAAAACAACTCCATGTCACCTGAAGTTTCTTCATCTTCCTCCATAATAGAACGATCCAATGCTCTGAAACCAAACAAAATTTTATGAAACAATAAGTCTCTTTAATAATGTTATTTTTACTTTCTTGTATATGTAGTATAATAATGGTGACGTGGAAAATCCATTTCAACAGAAATACACATTTTGGGGTCTATCGATACTGAAAAGTGTTTTTTTCTTCAAAACTTCTGTTTGTCTATTGATCTGTTGTCTGTTAACACTAAAGCCTAAACTACTTGTACAATTTTTTTCAACTGAATAAGTCTTATTGATCAGACCTCCCAAGAAGATCTGAAATTTTCAAAACAATTCATTAATTTGGAAATGTACTTTACATGAAGCCTCCGGGACAATTTCAAAACTTTCTCAAATATTGCTCCAAATTTTTTCTTTAATTTTTTTGTAAGAATAGAGGAAAATACAATTATAAAGGTGGTATATGTCCAAATTTCACCTTTAACTCTGAATTTTCAAAAATTGCAAAAGTTAAATTCTTCTTCTTCTTCTTCTTCTTCTTCTTACACCTACAAAATTAACCTTATTACAACTACAAAATTGAAAATAAAGATTTTCCTTCAAGCAAATATATTGAAAATTCTAAAAGTTATTCTGCTCTATTCTTTTGTTTTCTCAACAATTACAAAACATTTTTTGCCTAGTCTCTGAAATCAATATTTACGATACAGGCGATTTTTTAACATAACTGCATTCACGGTCTGACCGACCAACAGGAAGAGAGACCGACATTTACAAAGACATTTTGCCGTCAATTGATTTTTACGAATCAATGACCAAGAAAATATGCATCTGGGTACACTACGTGTTAGAGGATTGATTACATGTTAGAGGATTGATTACGTGTTTTTTTAGTACAGGCGACTCCATTTATAGTGAACCTTTGGGGAGTAACATTTTTGACTATATCCCATATCAAAATGAAATATTTGTTCCACAATTATTGACTATTTTAGTACAGAGATACTGCAAAATACATTAACAGCACAAACTCAAAAATGTTTTAAATATCTATATTGTAATGTTACTTTAAATCAGGAATAAAATAATAAAAACCGCCAAGAATGGTCTTGGAGGCGCAAGGGGCCGTGACAATACAGCTAGGGAACAAAAGACGGATGGCACTTCGACGAATGACAGCGAGGGTTGCTGCCTGGCCCAGTAGCTGTGCGAACTGCAGGGTCAGATTTATGACTGCACAAAGGCAGAGACGGCGAAATGTCAACGTATTGCAGTGGGTGTTGGTGAAGGCCTTTCGCACGACACATTGGGCCCACTAATCAATCAGGCCAACCATGAACCAGACTACTGAAAATAGAAGTGATGGGTGGAAAAGGAGCACGGAGGAAAGACAGGGTGTGCACTCTCACACTTATGTACTATTTAAGCTAATCAGCTGGAGAGGTGTAGAGGCTTCAGCGCTACATGCAAGACCATCTATAAATCCCCCACTATTTAAGAAACTGCTCAACAATTCAATTAGTTTCGCGCACGTGCGACTTTGTTTGCTCCTTAACGTCTTTGTCTTTGTGAATTCAAATTTCACCTCAATTATGAGAAACAAAGACGAGCTCACTGGTAGCGACATTGATGATTGGCGGAAAATAAGAAAAAGGCGGGGTGGTTTTTCGAAGGACGGAGTGGGGAAAGAAGCGAGGGCAGGGTGTTGGGAGTTCGATTGAAAACGAATATCCAGCAGGGTGCGGAAGGAGTCAGACGCTAGCAAGAAGACAGGTCGCAGCTCGTGACATCAACTTTGTGCGTATAACTTATCGCTCAATGGACTCAGAACTCCTGAATGTCACTTATGGAAGTACAGTGAACTCTCAGTTTGTCAACAATTACGAATGTGTAGTAAATTTGTTATCGCGCTGGCCATGCAAATACATTAGTTAGCTGTTGCCGAAAGATCTTAAGAATTGCAACCGCTGGTGAAAATTATACCGGCCATCAAATATCCAGCCCGTGGAGAATGAACATTTATCACAAGTGATCAAACGCCAGCTCTGTGAATCAACAAACAGCACTAGTGCGCTGGTGTTGTAATAGCTTCTGTGAGGGCAGAGACCCCAAGGTGCCAGCTGACGGATCGGAAAGAGTCCGACAACATTGAGTTTACAACGGGTTACTCCGACAGAGGGACGGTTCCAGACGACCCTCCCCTATTTTCTCTCTGAGGCATTGTATGGCAAACGCTACTGGTACCTGGCGCCGCTGTGACCGAGGAAGGAAAAGGGTGTGGGAAAAAGACATTTAAATATCTATATAAAGCAGAATTACATTGTAAAGATAAATAATTTCCATGTTAAAATTGGCGCATTGCGATTTTCGGCCTGTATGTAATCAAAATTAATTTTCTCAAGTAAATAACCAGTTTGTTAAGTTACCTAAATATTGTCCTTAAATTACAATTTCCAGTATAATTAGTTAGAAGCATGTGTGAACATAATCGGGAAGGAACCTACAAACCCGATGAACTTAACAATGCGAATAATTCGGAAGAACGAGTTCTCATCACAATATTTTACCATAAAAAATTAATTTTCTATTGTTTTAATCCTATGTTTTCATTAGTAATTTTTCTAGATCTTTCTTCAGATTTTGTGGTCTTTCCATACTTGATTCTGTATTGTCCACGGTCTCTAAGTATCGCAATACAACCTTGTCACCCTCCAATGCCTCTTTGACTGTTGGAATACCGTCCCACTCCCCGAAGACGTTTTTACTTGCCTAATAACATACAAGATCCTTTCGGTAGTGGCATGGCACAAGTGGCTAACAAAACTGATCGTATTTCCGCCTGGCGCTATGCATAATTTCATTAACAACACTAGCACCTGGCGCACAATGCCTCTTGGAAATGGTGCCCACAACATCTGTTGTGATACTGAGTATGCCTGTTGTGAAGTTGATTAACTGATTACTAGTGAAATCAATGCCTTTTTTCGTCCGCATGTCTGATGAAGTGTCCTAATGATGATGTTATTCAAAGCACCTGAAATTATGTTAAGTTATGCAAAGCCTTGACAGCTTAAAAAGCAGAGTGAAAAAGGATGAAAGAGAACACCGCTCGAATAAGATATTGTATACTAGTGTTATTGTTTTGTTGTTAACTGTGTCATGATTATAATACATGGATGAAGACAAATAAACTGAATATGTGTTAATAACTTGTCTTTAATCCTTTTTGTAGTACAACAGACAATAATGCAAAACATGGGGCAAAGATAGATTAATAATAATAATAATAATAATAATAATAATAATAATAATAATAATAAACAGAGGTGAAGATTATTTGTATACTGATATACCGATGAGTCCTTGGCATTGAATCATTAACTAAGTAAATATAAAATGCAACATACCTACGGATTGCAGCATTAATAGAGTCATCCTCATCATCATCGTCATGCTGTTTCAACAGTTCCTTTATGGTGTCCTCACCATGCCGAATCTCTGCTGGACTGCCAGTTGTTGAACATTGTGACCTTGCAGGACTTGAAGTAAAAGACAGTTGTATTGCAGGTGGTGAGTTTTCCGTCTCTTGTGTTCTCTGTTGTAGTAATGGCTGATGGGTTTGTGGTGGTAAAGATTGTTTTGGAGTTAAATGTTGTTTGAGTAATTGTGTCGGTTCTTGTTTCTTTCGTAATGGCTGTGGTTGTTCTTGTATCTGTTTAGCCATTTGAAGTGGTTCTTTTTGGTCCTTGGAAAAGTGTAGTTGTTCCTGTTGTAGTTTTGGCAATGTTTCTTGGGTTTGAATTGGCTGCAACAGTTCTTCCTGCAGTTTCAGTAATGGAGATTGCACTGGTGTTTTTGAAAACTGAGATTCTTGTTGCTGCTGCTTTGATAATCGAAATATGTCTTTCTGTTTCTGAATAATAGCTTCTTGAGATTGTTTTATCACAAGAGGTTCTTGTGGTTGCTTTGTTACAGGAAGTTCTTCAGATTGTTTTGCCACTGGAATTTGTTCTTGGAGTTGTTTAGATAGTGAAGGTTGATCTTGTGTCAGCTTTGTCAAGGTTTTTTCTTGCAATTGTTTAGTCATTGATGTTTCTCGTGTCAGTTTCATCAAAGAGGTTTTTTCTGGTAGATGTTTCATAATGGTGGGTTTTTCTTGCATCTTATTAACTAATAAGGGTTTTTCTTGCATTCGTTTTATCAGTACAGGTTTTTCTTGTGGTTGTTTTGACAGCAAAAGTTTTTCTTGCGACTGTTTTCCCAGTGAAGCATTTTCTTGCGCCAGCTTCAGTAGTATGGGTTTTTCTTGTGGCTGATTCAAAAACAATGATTTTTCTTGGGGTTGTTTTGCCAGTAACATTTTTTCTTGGGGTTGTTTTGCTAGTAACATTTTTTCTTGAGGCTGTTTTGCCAGTGAAGATTTCTCTTGTGATTGTTTTGCCACCAATTGCACTTCCTGAGTTAATTTTACCAGTGATAACTTTTCTTGAGGTTGTTTTGGAATTAGCAACTGTTCCTGAGTTTGCTTTGGAAATGATGGTTGTTCTAGGAGTTGTTTTGTCAAAGACTGTTCCTGAGGTTGTTTAGGCAAAATGATTAGTTCTTGAACATGTTTAGACAGTAAAGATTGTTCTTGGACCTTTTTTGGCATGGAAGATTGTTTTTGAAACTTTGCCAATGGAGATTGTTGTTGTTGTTGTTGTTGTTGTTGTGGCATTGAAGATTGTTCCTGCTGATGTTTAGGCACAGGAGGTTGTTCTAGTTGTTTTCTGGGGAGTATTATTTCATGCTGTTTTGATAATGAATGTATCTCTTCTTTTGACAAAATAGGAATTTCTTTTTGTTGCCTGGTACTTGTAGAAACTTGTTGTTTTGGCAACAAATCATCTTCTTGATGTTTCACCAAATGAGGTAGTTCCTGCTGTTTTAGAAGTGGAGGATGTTCTTGTACCTGTTTTAGAAGTGGAGGCTTCTCTTGCAGTTGTTTTGGCAACTGAGATTGGTCTTGCTGAGGTTTGGATGATAAAAGTGACTCCGGTAAGTGTTTAAACAATGGTGTTTGTTCTTGCTGTAGTTGCTGGCTCCTTGTGATTGGCATACTGTCTTGCACCTCTTGCGCCTGTGAGAATAAGTCTTGTGATTGTTTTGATGATTGTGGTTGTTCTTTCTGCAGTTTTGGCAGTTGCAACTGCTCTTGAAGTGGCTTTGTTTCCTGCTCCTGTGCAAGTAGTGAATGTGTTTGTTGCCATGAATGAGACTGTTGATCTAGCTGCAGGTGTCTCAGTTGTTCTTGTGCTTCTGATTGTACTTGGAGCTGCAATAGTTGAGGCTGCTTCTGCTGCTGTAATGGTGAATGTCCATGTGAAATAATGGAATTTATGTTGGAACCTACATTAACTCCCAAAGAAGTTTCCGCAAACTCCTGGGCAGGTGAATTGAAACCATGAAAAATGCCACTTGGAGCCGCTGCTGGCGATAAGCATGGAGGGTCTTCTGCCTTGCTTACACCCACTGCAGTTACCACTGCAGCAGAGGTGACAAGAGTAGGGAAGAGGTCTTCATGATCACCTTGCTGGTAACTGAATAATGGTTCTGCAGTTTCAGTTACCATATCATCTGATTCCGAGATTACAAGCCTATCTTCATGGTCATCATCATAATCATCATCATGAGATTCGCTTAACATACTCCTCAAAGAACCAAGTTCAGGTGACTTACGAGAGGACAACACCTCTTCCTCTTCCTCCTCGCCTCCACCATCGTCTGGAAGACTAAGCAATGGGGGACTGACAGGACTTTCATCAATACTAGGTGCAGTAACAGGGCTTGTCACAATGAGAGTCCTCACCCCTAGAGTTGATTTTCCTCGAACAGTAAGAGTTGTAGGGGTAGGTGGTTCAATATCTAAGGGAGAAACTTTCTCATATGTATGCTCCAAGGACGTTTTATGAGAGAGTGAAGATGAAGGAACAAAAGTCGATAGTGTAACTCGTTCAGAAGTGGGGAGTTGCATTCGTGAAGATGAAACATCGGAAATGGATAGTTCTTCTTTTGTTTCTACTATATTTTTATTTATCTCAGAAGACAACTTTTTTTGTGGAGTTCGCCGAACTTTCTTTCCACCTTCCAGTGCCATTGAATCCTTTGTTGGTGTTCGAATGAGCCGCTTGCGAGGTGATTTAATATCTACAGGACGTGTTAGTGCAAGAGAGGCTGCAGTTGAAGATGTGTTAGTCAAGGCAGGTGGTACATCAGGAACAGAAGCAGGGAGTTCTAAAATACGTGTAGCTGTGCCAGCTGGTCTCCTTGTCAGTCCCTTTGAATCTAGTGATTCTCTCTTTCGAACTTCAAATTCAAATGGTTCAGGTTCTTTGAATTCATACACATCTTCTTCTTCCTCCATTAAAGATGATGTTCCCATTGGTGACATTGTTACTGTTGCTAATAGATCTTTTGGTGATACTTTGAATGTCTCCTCCTCATCTTCATCCTCAATGTCAGCAAAAAGGGCAGGAACAACACTTGCTGCTTTGACATTTGCTTTCATTTCCTGGACCCCCATTTTTACATCTTCCTCATCTTTTCCCTCTACATTTATGTCTACACCTACTTCATAATTTTCTTCTTCATCATCATCCTCATCGTCAGCATCACCATGCGATTGAACTGGGTTCAACTCTAGTGCTGATTTAACCGTTTTCTCAATACCCTTAAGCTCTGACCGAATTTGATTCAAGTCAAAATCTCTACCTTTGGGTTGTGTTGAATCCTCTTCACTTTCTGTACCTGCACTCATTTCTGCTTTTATCTCCATTTTAACATCTGAAGCAAGTTTCGACCTTAGTGGAGATGAACGTGAACTTGCAGCAGGAGAACGCTTTCCCCTACGACTTCTTCGTTTTTCTGCAGTTTGCTGTTGTTCAGTAATTACTACTTCTACTATTGGTTTCTCATCTTCATTGTCTTCTGTACATGTTGATACATGTGCTGATGATGTTGGTTCTGCTATTGTAGATGGAAGTAGCGAAGACGACGACTGTGGTGGTGGTGGAGGTGGTGGTGGTGGTGGTGGTGGT